TATAACCAATCATCTCTATGTAATACATAAGAAACTTTTACCTAATAGCTGTCCTTTAGTGGAATGTACATCATTAGTTTTTGTTAAAGGTAGAGGTCTGAATCTGAAAGAAAAGTCTTATCACTAAGCAATCCTTGTTTTATATTTTGGAAGACCTGTACATCCGGAATCATGAATACATTTAATACACCATGAGATTAACACTAATGAATTGCCATATATCTGTGAAAACCTTTGTTTCTTAATTTAGTTTTGTACTAAGAGCATCTTTTATGAGAAAACCTTACTGTAATTTTTTTCTGAAAAACTTTATCTTTTCACCAATGACCAAATTACTGGGGGTGTCTCCAAAGAGACTATAGAGATTACTGGGGACTCCTCACTAATGAACAAAGGTTGGACACCCCTCTATTCACCAATTGGAGTCCTGTCCAATAATCTCTCCCCACCCTAAGCAAATTTTCATTAATGATCTTAAATTTTTTTTTATGAGCTGTGAGAAAACTAATTTTGATATTACTTAGATCAGCTGGTAACTCAGGAGAAAGCATGCTTTTAAGTGTATAACCCAGGTTGTATTATGAACAACTGATAAAAGAAAAATTGTTGAGCTCAAATAAAAAGAGGAACCACAGAATGACATACAAATAAACAAATATCAAATACACAGAATAAGCATCTTTACAAAATCAGAGTGCACTCAAATATGTTTTTGACCAAATTGAATTATAGTAACTCTATTACAATTTTAAAAATTTATAATTATAAATAGACTAGTCAGATTCTTTGTTCCTTAATTAGCGGAGATCTCTTATCAGAAAAATTTGGAAGGTTGGCCCTTTCTGGGAAACTCCAACTGGAGCTTGCCTCAGCCCCATCAAATAACGGGGGCCATGCAGATGGCTGCTGGGACGAGCTGCTGGGTCCATTTATGTACCTGGCATGCACCCCCTACTCCTATCCCTTCCCCTACCTGCCAGATGCCAAGGGCACTGATGGCTGGCAGCTCCACAGTTGGGGGCACCCTCCTGCCTCATTCTCCTCGGCCGCAGGGGCAGCCTGGTCATCATCCCCAGGGCAACAGGCAGCTGATGGCCTCCCTTTGAAGGAAGTACCCTCCAAGCCCTCATGGCAGTTGTCTTGGTTTGCTCATATGCTGGTAATTCAAGGTCAGTTGATTTTTTTTCCTTACCTGATTAAACTGTCTTTTTGCTGCTATACTTTCAGCTTTTGTAAAATTGTAAAAATTTAATAGTATATATTGAGAAGTAGAGTCTATCATGTGTAAATTTTGTAGAGAAAGATTCCTCCTTTTTTTTTTGTAATTGAATTTTGATTGTACAGTGAGAAACCTGTATCCTATATTTTAGAAGAGGAAGCCATCACATTGCCTCCCTTAACCTAATATAACCCATCTGTGAAAACAGAAGCAAATTAAATTAACTTGTCTGAAGGATAATGACAACTAATAACACCAGAGAAATTAGTCCAAAATCTGGGCTGAGTTAATTAATGTTACAAAGTAAAGTATAACAATCATTTAAGGTTGACCTGTTGTTGGTTTTTTTGGTACCAGGAATTGAACTCAGGACCCTGTGCTTGCCAGGAAGGCACTTGTGCCACTGAGCTATATCCCCAGCCCTTAAGGTTGATCTGAACAGTTTGGAGTAACTGCCACATCTGTTCAAAAACATGTGCAAGTTCCATGTTGGTAATTTTTTCAGGCTCTTGAAATTATTTTCTGGTTTTTTTTTTTTTTTTTTTGTACCGGGAATTACTGCACTCCAAAACTGTAGATCCAGGAAGG